CTCTGATGAAAAACGACAAATTATTGGAGTTTTGGTCCTGGTGCTGCTTATTTACACACTGCTGTTCCTGCCCAGCATCATTTGGTTCCTGTCAGAGGGAGCAAGAAATAACGACACCTTCAGAAACCTGTATGTCATGTTCATTAGGTTGAATCCTCTTGCAGACTTAGTTCTGTATGTTTTCATGAGGAAAGGGACCATAGACAAGCTTTTGGCCTCTGTGTGTTGTTGTAGAATGGACAGCAATGATATCAGCAGTTCATCAGTATGAATGATGACAACATTTACACAGTCAACTTCATGTAGGCAGAGAAAGAGGGAGAGAGAGAAAGGGGAGAAAACAGAAGGAGAAATGTAGGCAAATAATTAGTGACAAGACAGATAGTGTCATCTACTGATAGGATTTCCATTAAGTCACTCCTAACTGTAGATAGAAGGAAGCATTGTTTTGACTCTGGTTTAGGACTAGTGGTTAGGTTGACTTAAAACTGTAAAATAATTCCTTTCTTGCAAGTAATTTTTGACAACTGATTAGTTATGATTGCAATTTTGAAGTCACTTGTTTTGTTAATGCTTTTGACTGCTTGACATTTCTTATGTTGTAAAGTGTTTTGTTTTGTACGGGAGGCGGTTCATGAAGTTGTACTGCTTTTGCTGATAAGAGATTGAACCGAGCTTGACACGATCTTGCAAAATGTATATATTTTCCTAAATTGTAGTTGACTTTAATGTAGTGATAGTGTTTAGTTTATCCTTTGTTTATGTTACTGGTAGTTTAGTGGTGAACAATGCTGATTTCACACATCATAGTTTTCTTATGTTGAGTTATTGTTAATAAATAACATATTTACTTCAATTGTTACTGTGTGGATCTCCCTTCTTTTGTTATGCTCCTGAATGAGCTGGGCATAACACATTGAAGCATTTGCCGAAAGAACAGAAAAGCCAAAAGCTAACTGTTGTAATGTGAGCTATATAGGTAGGGGCGCCGCCAAGAATTTTGGGACCCCATGACAAAAAAATCAAACTGGGCCCCCTCTGCGCAGCTGTTGTCACCACATCTCTAGGACCTAACTGTCCCATCAAAAGCTTTACATAACTCTAATTAAAGGCTTGCAACTGTCTTGCTTTTTGTAGTTCAATAGTACTAGCACAATATTTACTGCTGGGGATTTGTACATGCATGCAAGTCTGCATACAGTATGCAGTTCACTATTTGATGCAAGATTAAAAGCAACCACAAAAAAAGTTGCAAAAGGCCATCTTTTACAGTCTCAATGTATTTTTATTTTAAAATTTTAAAATGGAAAATTCTCTTAATGAAATTAATTATTATTAATCATTATTATAATTATTAATGAAAGATTTAAAAAAAAAAAAAACGAACAAACTTAAATATATATTAACTTTTCAATCAAAATAAATTAACATCATCCTCTTAAAACAATGAAAACAGCAGATTCTTGAACTTAGCTGCACATATATGCCAACAAGAAAATAAAGTTGACATGTAAAATGGAATTTCCAAACCAGGGTTATTATAGTGCTACAAAACAGATCAAGTGATCACTAAATCAAAAGGTTTTGAGGTTTGGAATATGGTCATAACAAACTAACAGTACCAGTGACATCAAATTAAAAAGGTATAAATAAGAACAAAGGACTCCTGGAAACCCAAACTTTTCTCTCAAATAACAGCTCAAAACGTTTTTGGCAGTCCAGCCATACATCTTGTTCTCGGTTTGTTTAGGCTGTGGGCATTATGTCTGTAGTAATATCCAATCTCCATAGCCATGCCATTTGTCAGCTATCACTGGCCCTTGCTCAGCCTGACTCACCAAGAGCCCAGCACCGAGCCTTCCTGCTAGCAAAGTCACTGATAAGTCTTTGAAGTCAAGCTTTCTAGCCAACTGACTTTCAATGGACAATATGGCAAGACTGCAAAGCCTGTCCTGAGACATAGTGGTAGTAGTAGTGACATCTTCACTGGGACAGGGAGGGGTACAGTGATGGGGAGACTGGGGTGCTGCTGACTCATCTGTTGTTAAGTCTGCTAAAAGGGGCAGGGACAATGATCTAATATGAATATGTTGCTAAACGTTTCCCTGAACTGATTAAATGGTGATTAAATGTAGGCTAACACTAGTCTGTAGCTGGCTATCTTATTTCCCTATGGACATTAAGCCAACAGGTTAATACCACTCACAGACTATAGGCTCCTTTCTTTGTGAAAAACTGGGTTACAGATTGACATCCTTTCCTTTGTCTTTCCTCTCTCTCTTTTCTCTCTTTCCTTTTTGAAAACCAGATTTTGATTTAGTTGTTAACATTGTGATCACTGTAGTTCTGGCGCATCTACTGACTGCAATAAACACCATCACTGATAAGGTCCCAAACCATTTCATGCAGATACAGGGGGGTGGTCGGTCAATATGGATGTTTACTTTTTGGTCAGTGTGGATATTTAACTTTTACTGCCAAAAACAAGTAAAAACAAAGAGATCATTAATTTTATTATTATATTTGAAATATATATACTGAAGGATGATGGTTTAATAATTTTATATTAGTTTTTACCTATTTTTTGGGGCCCCTGTCGGTCATGGGCCCTTGGAATTGTCCTAACTTTTCCCCCCTATCTGGTGCCCCTGTATATAGGTAGGTATGTAGTAGACTGAGGATTGTCTTATCTTAAAAAACAGTTAGCTTCTATGGAGCCTTGAAGTTGCCCTACAGAGAAAAAAATATATATTTTGAGGCCATGTTTTACTATATTGAGCACTCAAAATGCATGAGACATACAAAGTACAATTCCATCCCTCCTTTTGATTAATTCATGGGCATAAGATACAGTTTGCTCCCTCTTATGCACCCTACTAATGTGTTAATTTTGCCTAAATAATATAGATTTAGCCCATATTTCAGTGATGACACACATATTCTAATGTAAGAGAGCCATGTGATCAAAGAGTATTAGTATTTCTTTATAGCCATAGTAGTTCTCAACCTTTTAGAGTCACGTAGTGGGCACTGTCTGATAAAAGAACGAACCCGACCCCTTAGATTTGTGATTCTGACAGATCACCTGTGGTGGGCTAGTTTTTCAGACACAGCACAGTCAGTTATTCCTTCAATACACAGGATATGTTTATAGTGTGTGAGACAAGATCCAACTTGCATTTCAAGTAATTCCTAGTTATCTTAATTCCCAAAATTGCTATTTTCATCCATACCATTCAGCAAAACAATCTGATCTATATATACACTTATATCTTGTGCCCACAAATAAATCAAAAGAAATTAACTATATCTCACATGCATGTAATAGCATTTTGAGCTCTTAATGTAGTAAAACACTGCCTTGATTTTTTTTCTCTCTGTGGTATAAAATATAACCCAGTTTGCCTAAGGCAAGTAGATTATGTATCTGTTTACAGTCAGATTTATATTTATTCATTTTGCAGAATTATTTGTCTAAAGTGACATATGAATGAGGTACAGTGGGGAGTGTAACCCTTCTTGCTTTACGTGCACTTTGCATCCTCCTTAAAATACATCGAGAAACAGACAAAGGCAAAACAGGAAACTGCTGCAGAAGATCACGAACATCATCTGTTTATTGACAGTTTAGGAAACTCTGCAACACTTTGAAGCTGCCATCAACATCAGCATTATATATTAAAGGTTATGCCTGTCTTTAACCATGTGTTAAGTTGGATTGTTAGAAAATCAGTGATGTTTTTTTCAGATTCTAACTTGATCCCTCGTGACAATATTCACATACATTATTTGGCCGCATGCTGTTTATACTATACTGTAAATTAACAAGTGACAATGTGGCAGAAAGGTGGGGGGAAAAAGTGCAGAGCAGCTCTTTTTATCTTCTCAGAAGATAAATCTGACACATCTGTAAGGTTGCGAGAAAAGGAGAAAAAAAATAGCAGTATAGAAAAAAGATATAAATAAATATATATAAATATCCCAGCCATTTTACCTTTGACCACCACCTTGAGGTCTGTATGAATATTACATCTTTCTCTGTAGTGCTGTTTTTTGAGTGCAGTGTTTTCTCCTTTTTCTTTATTATTTTACCACTACCAAGAAAAAACGAGGACACTGGTGTGTACTGATTTGTTCTTTCAATTGTTAACTCAAGCATTCAGTCATAAACAAAGATCAAATTAATATCACTGCTGTTGTTTTTTAAACCGTTAATGCTCAACTTACATCACAATGAGTGGCTAGGTTTATGTTCATTGTTGGATGCTTTTGAAATACTATCTGTCCTTAATTAACTTAACTTAACTGAGATTTTAACATTTTATTGTAAATATCTATTAATATATAAACTATAATATGTCTTCTAAATAACAAGCAATAACAAACACAATTTAGTCTGCAACTTTTGTAAATAACAACACAGTTAAACGCTTAACTCAAAAACGGACTCCAATCTATCTCACTCAGCATCTTTATGTATAATGTCACCTTACAGGTTACACAGGGCAGCACAAATTCTCAGAATGTCCTCCATTTTTGGTGCCTGGTTGATTGACACAACCTGTGAAATAATTATGTAGTGTTAGTCTGCATATAATCCGCTCCACATGATTTCTCACATTAGCAATCCTACTTGTCCTGGTGGAGTCTTCTTCAGAAGGCTGTGCCTCTCATTTAGTAGAGGTAGGTCTTTACTAAAGTAAAGGTAGGTCTTTACTAAATTACTATTACTAAATTTGTCTTTCAGATGTACAATGCATGCATATTTTGGGCATTAATAAGCCATTACTATATTTTACAAGTAAAACAATTTATCTGTTTACTAGGACATAGCTTGGAAAGGTTACGTGCATTTTCAGTACAAATATCATATGAAGATAAGGATATCGACTATATCTTTATAGCAGGAAATGCATGTGACATTTTACAAGTACAATTTATTATCAGTTAAGAAGATGATGTAGATTAACAGGCAGTTAGGGTTAGGGCCATGTGTTACTGTGTGGACACAGTGGACAAAACAGCAGACAACGAACAGTACTGACCCACCAGAGTACCATTTTTGTTTTTTGCTGTTTTTTTAAATATTCCATTAGTGATGTATCCTGTTCCAGCGCTAATGGAGCTTATTCGCTAACACTGTTTGGATGCAGAGGACAACACATTGGATGTTGGTGAACTCATAAAATTTTGGTTTGTAAATTACTTTTTTCCCACCGTATGTATATGTAGAGATGATAAGAACTACAGAGACTCATTGGAATGAATAAGCCTGAATATTTATATGAATATATGAATCTGAAAAGAAACAGACTTTTGATTTGATTTGTTGATTTGTTTTTGATTTGATATGATTGTGGCTATACTAGGTATACTGTATTTGTATGAACTTGCACATTGCGCTTTAGTGATATCACTGAACAATGTTAGGTACAAAGCATGCTCCCTTTCTATAACCTGATCTCTCAAACTACAGGTTTCACTCTGAAGAATGGAAGATCTCTACATTAACAACTCCTCACTGGCCAACACCTATAATTACAGCAACGTCACCTCCAACAATGAGGATAATAACAACGCTGTATTCATCAAAAATGTGTTGACATGCATAATCATTGGTGTCGGCGTTCCTTTGACCCTCGTGGCCATCTATGCTCTTTATTCTCAGGTATGTACATTATGATTTATTTATCTACAGTCATGTGTCTGTTGTGCAGTCTGTGTGTCTGTAAAGGATCTTGATCTGGCTTGGGGGCTAAGGGGGAGGTGTTATCATGATGTTTTCATTTACAGTGATAATTTTCTCCATAATTAAAATGTACATTAAGTTAATTTGACACATGCAGTTTATGTGTGGCTCTATTCCAACCTTCACTTAAACAGCTGAGGATAATGGCACCATTTAGTTACAACTCCAAGAAAAACAAAACTGGCATCAAGTTTGTCAGAGCCGTTTGTACAGCATTATTTGTTGAGAAACAATAAAAGAAAGTGTGACATTTTGTTGACATTCATATGGTCCCTGCAGGATGAAGCCTTCTGACCTTGTCTGACTTTTTAAGATGTTATCATACCGTTTTTCTTTCCCAATACAATTCAGATACCTTGCATTACATTGTGTTTCACGGATAAAACATGAGACGGTATGTTTGGTAAGCTGAATAGGGCTATGATAAGCCCTGGTAACTTCATAAAAAAGCAGAATATGGAGTTATATCTGACCAGTCTGATGTGTACAGAGCTCTTTATGGTTATATTATACAGCTACAGTACAGTAACAGCAAGAATATTTGCCCGCATTGCTAGGGTGTTAATTATCTCTCCATTAGTTAGGTCTGCTTCTGATAGATTCTGTGCAGGCTCACTCAGTCCCACACTTCTTGCAGTAACATCCTGATGGAATAATATATGGGGCCGGAACTCTTTGAAGGTTGATTGATCACTTGCCTTAGTAATGACTTTATGTCCCAACTATACCTTATGTCCCTAGTAATCGTGGTGCAACCAATTTTAGAAGCGGATTTAGTTACAAATAACTAGTGACTAATCCTCTAGTATGACTTTACACCATAATTTAAGAGAGAATTTACATTTACCAGGGAAATGGTATTGTGCAAATGTGTGCTGCTGTTTTCTCTTCCTATTGTTTGCGTGATCCTCCAGGAAATATAGGTAATGAGGAGAAATATGCAAACTGTGACTCCCGTCTGGTGGATCTGTTTGATACATATGTTTAGGTCTGAAACACAGCTGCAGAAGATGCAGTGAATCTGGTCCTTAGTCTACTGCAGTGACTGACCAGTGTTTCATATCTGATATTTCTGACTACACAAAGGACAGTTTGATTTTCTGGTAAGTAAGTAAGAGTAGTAGTAAGAGTTAGATGACCTATTTGGGAGGAAGTGGATTTCAGAACATGTTTACAGCTGTTTGTTTACTCTTACCAATGTTTTCCTGCAGGTGCGAAATGATCATGTTGCTCCGATCTACGTCATCAACCTCCTCATTTCTGACCTCATTCAGCTCTGCTGCTTGATCGTTCGAGTGGCATCACCTGAGGATCAGGAGAAACTTGAAATTATAGTTTTAGTTTACCTCTCTGGTCTGGGGGCCAGTGTTTGCTTCATGGTGTGCGTCGCCCTGGAAAGGTAGCTATCTGTCTATCCAGTATGTGTGTAGCTACTTCTGTGTCTGACCATTATATTACTATAGAATTCTGAAGCTCCTCAAAGACTATGTGTCCATCTTGTATTACAGGTATTTGGTCATCGCCTTCCCGCTGTGGTACCGCTTCAGACGAACCATCAAGACCTCTGTGGTGGTCTGTGTCGTGGTCTGGACTGCTCCTCTTGTGTTTCTCCTCACTTTCTCTTTTTGGGTTGGTGATAAAGTATTAGAAACTGCCTTTGGCGTCTTCCTCCTCCTTCCCCTCCCACTGTTAATTTTCTTCCTTGGTGGGACCCTCAAAGCCCTGTCTGCCAGCCGAGTCCCCTCTGATGAAAAACGAAGAATTGTGGGAGTTTTGGTCCTGGTGCTGCTTATTTACACACTGCTGTTCCTGCCCAGCATCACTGGGTTTCTGGCAGAGAAAAAAATAAATAACTACACCTTCGAAATAGTGTCTCGGATGTTTATTAGATTAAGTCCTCTTGCAGACTTAGTTCTGTATGTTTTCATGAGGAAAGGGACCATAGACAAGCTTTTGGCCTCTGTGTGTTGTTGCAGAATGGACAGCAATGATATCAGCAGTTCATCAGTATGAATGATGACAACATTTACACAGTCAGCTTCATGTAGGCAGAGAAAGAGGGAGAGAGAGAAAGGGGAGAAAACAGAAGGAGAAATGTAAGCAAATAGAAAGAGACAAGAAAGATAATGTCATCTAATGATAGGATTTTCAATAAGAATCCTAACTGTAGATAGAAGGAAGCAATGTTTTGACTCTGCTGTGGGAGAACTGGTTACTGGGAAATGTTTTGGTGAACTTGTTGTGGTTGACTGTGATGGCTTCAACAATGTGAATAAAATAGATTTATTTTTGTAATTAAGTGAGCTCATTATAGCTGCCACGCCGTCTTATTCCTAAATCTTTATTATCACTGTTTGTATGTTTACCACAGAATAACAAAGTGTTTTTCAAGGCCTTTTTTGGTTTTTCTTACTTGTTCTTAGTTGTAAGTCCATCTAAAAGTGTATTTGCGTTTTTTGTTAATGTTTGTACAAATAATACAAAAAATATAATTTTTCTCATTATATGATATACATTTCATTTTTGGTGTTTCAGTGGTAGGCATGCTAGTTTTTAGAACCAGCTTCATATTCAGATATTTTACAACAGCTGTGTGTTCAGCATTATGGATAAAAATGTTTTGTACAATTTTATACAATAATGTTTCACAATATATGACATTTTATAATAAATTGTAAATTTTCTGAAAATCCAATTAAATTTATATTATATTTATGAACTTATAAATAAAAGGTTCAACAAATTTCTCCTGTTTGTCAAATATCCATTATGTATATGAACATTAATTCCAACCCTGATGTTTAGAGGAAAAACTCTTGAGTTTCTTGAAGAGAATGACAACAAGCCGGCAAATGTAAATAAGTGTTATCACAAAGAAAATGTGAACTTAATACTGGAAAATTAAATTGTGTCTGACAAGCAACTGGAAATAACGTGGGTGATGCGTGATGTATATGACTTTTATTCTACTGTAAAATGATACGATTAATTTGTCATTTATATACCATGAGACAAACATAAAATTCAATTCAGTTCAATTCAAGAGGTTTTTTGTCATATGCACAGTAAGAAACACAGTGGTTTATACCATACAATGAAAATCTTACTTTGCCCGACTCCCTTAACACAACAGTATAATAATAAGACAAATACACAACAGGAGTAGAAAAATAGAATAACGTTAAAATATAAAATATAATTTAAAGTGCAGAATAGTGTAAAGTACAGTACAGTACAGTAAACCTGAGTTGGAATTAAAAGAAAAAAGAAACCTAGAAATTAAAACACCACCACCAGTTATACACTTGACTTAGCAGGAATGAGGGTAACAAGGTCATACCAAGAGAGAACCTGACAAGGTAAACTAGACCAGATCGGCTTGAAGAGGTCAGCAATGACATATGTAAT